GGAAAAATCATTTCTTTTTAATAATTTTAGAGTGACCAGAGAAGAGTTGTGTCTAATACGGCCTATTAGGACTGAGGGCATTTGCTTTTCATAAATACTGCATTTATTTTCTGAGGTAATAGGCTTTGTGGGTATAAAAGAAAACTTATCTGAGTTCTTAAATAAGCAATACAGATGGAACCAAGCCTCAGGTGATTTGTAGGCTATTGACATTTTAAATGAAGTGGCTTGTTCACCATAATTAAATCGATTACTATAAACTAAGAATATTAATGGCCTAACATGAATCAGATTGTTACCTATTCCTAATTGGAAACATGATAGAGATGTATCCGATTAAAAGGTAGTGCGTTTTACATTTTCTTCCAAAATGAACTCAAGATGACAATTTTCATTGTGAAGCTTAATTGAGAATATAAGATGAAAGAAATAGGTAAATGGGAAAAGAGGAAAAATTTACATTCTTAAGTATCTACTAGCAGGAATTCACAATTTCATTGGGGTTCTATGATCATCAAGTTAAGTCTGCATTTTACTTCATAATCTTTTACTTAGCAATTTAACTGTGTAATCCCAGTGTTTTCACATCCCAGTTTCTCAATTATATCAACTATAATGAATTCATTACATGACTCTGCTGCTTTCTGTGTGTTACACAATTCAATCTGTCAGCAAGTTTGACACAGCTTTTTATTTTTGGGTCTGTGGCTCTAGCTTCACAGTTCTACTGTCTGCCTAAAATTTAATGCAGAAATTTATGTCTACATTTTTCTGGAAGAAGGTTCTGTAGCTTTCTTCAGATTCTGTAAGGGATCAGTGGTTAAGAAACCTTGGTCAAGCGGAAAAAAGAAGGGTGAATCAGTTATCAGGAGACATGGGTTCTACAACACTGGACTTCTACCACACTTTATGTAGTTAATATATTCGTACTTCCATTCTCAACTGTAGCCTTTAAGAAGGCAGAAATCACTTCCATTTTACAGATGAAAAAACACCCAGAGCTAGAGACACAACCATTAAGATCTATCTTTCCTGGATCCTGATCCCTTTCCTTCTGCATCTACTCAAATATGTGGACCAAATGAAAGGCACATAGCATTTAGATAACTCACTCATTTTAAACCCGGAACCCCATCCTGCTGCTTTTCCTTACTTTGGTAGAGTTTTGTGGATTTTTTTTCCCCTTGGTTTCCTGGAATCTTCGTGATTATCTCTGAATTCTTTGTTTTTTTTTTAATTGTGTTACTTTTTATTGAGGTACTACTGGTTTACAACACTGCATGATTTAGGGGTAAAGGTTCACACCTCGGATGTATTTGAGTTTCACAGGTGTGTCTTTGACAGCACACCTACCACCAAAGCACGATAATCCTCCACAGCAGTACCCTGGGCCCCTCTGCCACTTTGTTTTTCACTCTCCCCCAGTAGCCTCAATTCTACAGTCAGATTTCTAGGGTCTATTTTCAGTTTGGTTTTGACTGGTCTTTTGCTTTGTTTCCTTAATTTCGCACATAAGTGAAATTATCTGGTATTTGTCTTTCTCCCTCTGACTTATTTCACTTAGCATATTAATTTGGTGTCTTTAAACCAAAGCATCAGAGACAAATGGGATTATTGTTTGTATTGATTTATTTGAACTTTTATGGGACCCTCTTAATCTATTTTCCAGCCCATAGACATGTAAAACAACATTTTATTATTGAAACTTGTGTTGCTTGATTGAAATTAGTAGTTTGTTGCATGGCTTTGAAGAATATTTCACTGGGAATCAGAGAACTTGATTTTTATATAATCTCAGGCAGATTAGTTTATCTCCACTTAGGCGGGAATATAGGTATGAATGACCCAGCTTTTTAAAACTGCACTGATCTTCCTCTCTACCCAACCAAGAATGCAATTCTCTATCATCTACCTTCCCCACCATCACTGTCAGGAGTAAACCTTTGTGTGTATTATCACCTTCAGATGTTGTGGGGTTGAGAAAAGTTGAGTACTATTGATTTCAAAGTTCCCTTCTAACTCTTCTAGCTCTTACTGAAAATTCATCAAACCTAAGTAGCACATAGGCCAGTATTAGAGATTCAAATATTAACTCCTTAGCATACATTAATGGTAGGTACACTAAAGGACATAGCTATCAATGTATGTGGTTTCTTAGTCATTGGTCAAGAATTACTGCTTTAGTACCTTTTCATCATAGATCAGTATAATTGATCACCATCATAGATCATCATAATCAGTATAACGCCTCCCCAGGGCAGTCCAAACTCCAGCCCTCCTCCCCTGTATTCAACAACTGTTGTAGATAGCATTCAGGAACCTGTCATAGTTAGCAAAGCCATGTACCCATAAGGACAAGAACTAACTGCTTCTGTATCAACAGCTACAGTGTCTGGTTATAGTAGCCACCCAATAAATGTCCAGTGGGTGACTGAATAAACAGATGAATTTGAGGACAATAGGAACCTACAGCCAAACAACTATTTTGCTGACTTCAACATATAGTGGTTGCTAAATGTAGAAAGAGATATGAAAAAAGTTCCTGGAAATCTCTTTGGATGGCAAAAAGTGAATAGTCTCGAAGGCCAAGCTGGTTTGGGATTTGGTTTGGGAGTACCCACTTAAATTTTAGCTGCGTATGGCAATATAAATCATGTAGTACCTTCTCTGAACGAGAACTAAGCAAAAGCAATTTGGTTGAAGCTTTACCAGTCAGAATATTTGGGTGCTGACCATTCTATTATTTTCTGATCCACCGATAGACATTTAAAAAAAGCCCTTTGTTGTGTTCCTTAATGGAAAACTCTTTAACATATTGAGAAGACCATTTTACTGACCAAGATTTAGTGAACAAAATAGTCCATTATTTTACAGGGTCTCGGAATTCATTGTAAACATGAAAAGCGTTGTATTATTGATGTGCTAGTAGGAAATTGAGGAGACTGGGATGAAAGTTGCACTGATCTAGAGTATCCTTATGAATATGGAAAGTTCATGGTAACCTACATGATTTGATTTGAGAAGCGCTCCCTTTTCCCAAAGTATCTCCCCTCTGGATTGTTCTAGTGCTTCAAATTCCACCATTTAGCCTCTGGATTAAGGATTTGTGTTCAAGAGTCTCCTTGAAAGGTAAATACTTCTCAGGGAACTAACTCTTTATTAACATGAATGACATCATTGAATGATGAAATCATCAGAGGACAAGAACAAATCACACAGTGGCTACCTTTCGAAAAGGGTAGCAGGGTTAGAGATAGGTCCTGATAAATGAGGCCTGCCTGATGGATGCAGGCTTGAGTGGGTCACTGAGCTAGTAGGCTCGTGAGAATCCTGGGATTTGGAGAGAAAAAAAAAAAGGAACCAAAAGGTCTGGAAGGGCACTGAAAAGAGAAATCAAGTATACCCTTTCAGATTAACTTCAACTTCCCAACTTTGCCCAGCTGGAGTTTCTGCATTGGCAACATGGACTCTGTATATTTTTACATCCATATCTTTCTATCTATTCTTGTCAAATTCACTATGTTGATTTCAGCTCAGCTTCCAGGCTATTAAGATCATTTTGCATCATGATTCCGTCATACAGCATAGTAGTCACTCTATCCTGGAGTGAGACACCCACAGATATGTTGTGTGCCTTCTGTGTTCTTATGTAAGTCACCAGTTCTTAATCATGGACTCAGGGAGTCTAATTTATCTAAAACTATACATGACACTTACGTATAACATTTATCTGTGATGAGGAGTCCAGAGTTTGCAGCAGATTCTCAAGGTAATCCTCAGCAAAGATTAAAAACCACTGACTCTACTATTCATCAATATTTTGAACAGTGCAGTGCTAATAAAGACAGAGCTCTCTAAGACCAAGGGTTGCCTTCCCTTCTCCTCAGCACCCATCCATCAGAAATGTTGTGGTGTAGTTGTCAACTATTGTTAGTCTCCTTTGATTTGCCTGTCATAAAAGTGGAAAACTGAGTTCTAGCTACTTGGGCATTCTGATAATTGAGTTTTTATACTGCTGGTATTTAGTTTTTAATCTGTAAATATTAGGCTATTCTTCAGATCTTCATTTTGCTTCCCAGACCCAGCAAACATTATATATTCGTGGAATTATAACTGTTTCAGTCAATCATGTGATTGGCTAAAAATTAACACATCAAAGAAAAAATATAAAAGTGCTATCTCTTTTATCCATGGCACTACACACGGCAAATGTGTAGTGTTAATTTCAATTTCAGTCTACCCTAAAAACTATAAGGACTCTACTTCAGTCGTGATAAATGAATCCTGCCTGAGGGATGCAGACCTGGGTGTTAAAATTGTGAGTAAAATATAATCTCTATAGAGAAAAGGGTATATACAGTTTAAGAAAATCCTCTACATGAAAACCTGGATGTGACAGATTCACTACTTCATTTGAAAATGACTAACCTTAAAAGGAAATGAGACCCAAAAAAGTACATACTATATGACCCCATTTGTATGAAGGTCAACAAGGGGTGATCTCTGGTGATGGAAAACAGATCCATGATTATCAATCAGTGGTTTCCTAAGTAGATGATGGTATCGCACAAAGAGGCATAAGGAACATTTTGCTAGAAATGTTCTATGTGAAATGTTGGTGGTTTGATAGGTGTATACACCTGTCAAAACTCATCAAATTGTGTGGCCTCTCTGGTGGCGCAGGCGATTGAGCACAGCACTGTGAAGCTATCCGCAGCCTCTGCAACATGGATTCAATCCCAGCCGGCCGGGGAGTACCCACATGGCGCTGCAGACCTCTCCTGTCTCGCCTGTTGCCCCCCTCAGCAGTGGATTTCGGTCCGTCTGCCTGTTCTGTTCCCTGCTCTGTCTCTGGTGCGTCCTCTCACCCTCCCGCATATCTGGCCTGTACCCCGGTTCTTGTATGCATGAATAAATAAATCTTTAAAAAAAACTCATCAAATTGTGCACTTGAGAAAGGTGCATTTTGTTGAATATAAAGTATATCGATAACATTTTTATAAAAGATTTACCTCGAGTCATTAAAATGAGATTTTATTGAGTAGTATTGATTGAACCTTAAGATTAAAATCTGCTTGATTACACAAATGAAAAGGTCTACCTGTAAATTTCTTCAAGGAAGATGTGGGTGAAATATAATCAATGGAAAAACTTTTTAACAGTTAAAGAAAAGGTGATATCAATGCATTTGAGTTAATAATTAGCATTTATACAATGATATCTCTTTATTAATGTGGAATATTCCAACAGTAAAAAGATTGAACAATGAATTCATATTCTCTAAAGTGGTCTTAAGAGTTCATTCAGAGCAGTTTCCTACTTCCAAAGTAGATAACATCTGATACATGATAGCTCATTCAAACTTGTACATCACCTATAATAGCAACATTTTACATTTATTGAAGGAAAATTACATTATTTTGTACTTGGAAATTGAGTTATTTTTAAATGTGCTATGCTTAGAAAGTGGCATGGTAGGGTGGCTCCTTGGGAAATTTAATATGCTAAATGAAAATTTAATTTTTCAGACCTAGTTTAAATGTTATGTACAAATTACATATACTTCTCTGAAATTCTTGAGGAATTCTTTTTCAATCTATGAGATAATGCTGGTGAATTCTTTCCTTAGTGGTCATTGTGAAAGTAAATAGGGAAACCTTGGCAACTAATCCTTGAAATAATATTGAATGCAGTTAATGTTACCTTGTCATGTGTACATGTGGATTGTAACGAGAGTACCTAAAAGTAAAGAAGTACAGTTTTCTGAAGTACAACGCAGGTGGTGTTGTAACACACTTTGAACTGAGTTAGAAATCACTTGCCTTATCACTAGTCATGCTTATATGTTAGTAAAATTGTAAGTATTCTATGATGGTAATATAGGAACCCTTGCGTTTATTTAGTAGTTATCTTGACCTGTTTATTTTGGATTGATGGTAGGAGCACATTGTTAGAGGACGGGTGGTCAGGATGGAGAAAGTGGAAGGCTGGCCAGGTCAATTGAATTCCAACTGCCAGTAATGGGTTCCTTAGAGATGAATACTGCACTTAGGCTACCAGCCTATGGCTTTTTCACTCCCTTCTCCTCATCACATAAGGGCTCAGCCACATTGTTGGTTTTAGGCTCTGGCTCCGGCTCCGGTTCAGGCTCCAGCTGGATCTCAAGCTCAGGCACCCGGGATGGCCCCTGGCCTGGGACAGACCCTGGGGTAGTCCCCGGAGCAGTCACAGGCTCGGGGGCAGGCTCATGATCTGGCCCCATGTTGGTATCGGGGTTAGTCTCATGGGAGGCAGTTGGTAGGCTTGCTTCTAGTTGGACAATATCTTCAGATGGCATTGCCTCGTCCTCTGCACTTTGGTTTATCTTTGTCATTGGTCTGCAGGAAAAAGGCCCAGGAAAAAACAAGTTAAGGAGTTGCTAACTTTAACATTTCGTGTGGAGACATAGGCTCTGTAGCTTCAGTGACCATAGGTCCCAGACTGTTCAGGACCTCTGTGCTTTCTGATATTCTGATTCGCTATCAGACCACAAGTTTCCATTTTGGGTGCACAAAGGTTAGGTCTCAACAATACGAGAATTCAAGAAGATGGAAAGACTGATGTCAAGAAGAAAGAGTCTAAAGACATAATAAGGTCTCTGAAGTTCAAATCCATGACACTGGTGCATCCCTAGCTTCTACTCCATCTAGCACGAACATGACACTTAGCCAGTACCCAATACAAGTTGAAATCAAAAAATGAATAAATGAATGCATGAGATACACATTCTGGAAGAAAGAGCAAAGTGGTTAGGAGCATGGATTGTGGGCAAGGATGCATTCCATCATCCGCAGGCACTAAGCACTTGCTTTTGTGGGCCTCTTGTTCCGTAAAAAAAAGTTTAAAAATACATCAAGAAAATGTGGTACATATACACAATGGAATATTACTCAGCAATCAAAAAAGATAAACACATGCAGTTTGCAGCAACATGGATGGAGCTGGAAGGGATCATGCTCAGCAAAATAAGCCAGAAAGAAAAAGAAAAATACCGGATGGTCTCACTCATAGCAGGAATTTAGAAAACCTAAATAAGAGACCAGGAAAAAGACTAATCAATGTGAAGTAAAAATCAAAATCAACAAGCAACTATAAACAAGAGACACACTACGGGGGGAGGGGGAGAGGGCGGAGGGGCGGGGAGAGGAAGGTCTAGAGTCAAAATAAGGGGGTGCAATTGTAAGGGGAATATAACCAAAATGAAAATACATACATTGTGCAAAGATGAAAAAAGATGTAAGAATTATATAAAATAAAATATTAAAAAAGAGAAAAATAGCAACCCTCTCTAAAAAAAAAAAATACTTTTTTATGACCATTGGTAGAAACACAAGTATATTAATATGATATAACAAAACATTTCTTGGTTCTAGAATGGTGGTTATGGTGGTTAAAAGATTTGATAAACACAAACTGCTTAGAACAGATTCTGGCATCCAGGCTCAGTAAATGGTCACCATCATTCTTTCAAAAGCTGAGAATGAACAGGAAAATACCTCTGATGTCATGCTAAAAGGAGTGCTGAGGAATTGCTGAAAGAGAAAGCCTGAGAAAAGCCTGCATTCAAATAAAAACAATAAAACAACGTCTTACTCAAGTTCTGTGGTGGCTCTAGAATTTCTCTTCCTTTCCTTCCCTTTCGCCTTGCTCCTTGTGAAGCACACAATAGAGATGATAATGGCAGCACCTACCAGGGCACCCACCAAGGCCACAACAATAATTCCAACTTCTGGATCTGGAGGATATAAGCAACTGGTTAGGAAGATGAACATGCTGTCTGCCTCATACATGTGTGTCTGTGACCCTTCGGAAAAATTCGACATGATCATATCTTGAGAAAGCTGCCTGGCTCAACTACATAGCTCATCCATTCACAGTTATGCACACAAAAAAGCATGCCAACTTAGGGGAGGTGGGGTCCTTTCAGAATGAAGTTTAAAGACAGCCTTCAGTGAACATTTGCTGGGTTCTTGAGAGAGCCACTGTGAAGCTGCAATCTGATCACCAGAGAAATGACTTTTGTTAAAGGCAAGAGCATTTCAGGAGAACTTCCCAAAGCGTAGGTGAGGCTATGCTTCTCCCACACAGATTCCATACTCGCCAATGAGCCTCATGCTTTCTCGTCACTGGAAAGGGATATGCCATTTCCATGAACAGGCATCTGGTTTATTAGCTCACTCTATGGAAAAAATTCATGAGTGTGAAAAAATCCAGCTGAGCACCAGACCTTCGAGCACTGAACAATTGTTCCCAAGAGACCACGTCTGGGTTCCTGGCAAACCCATCACCATCCACCTCGCCTCCAACAAGGATGGACATTTTCTATTTTGAGACAAAAGTTGGTTGAGTTGCCCGATCATTCTCTCAACATTTTGCAATTAAATGAATGAATACATGTGCATAATTATAAAGTCAAACAGTTTTGCTAGGCTTCCAACACAAGAAAACAGCATGCCCTTTTTCTACTCCTCCCCATCTCTAAGCATTAGTCACTTTCAAAATCTTCTGGTATTTGCCTCCATCTTTCTATAATACTACCCTTTTTGTCTTGCCTTTTCCAATTTTCATCATTTCTATTGACCAGAAGCTGAAGATTTAAATCTCATACCATTCCCCTGACACCTTGCCACATTCTCCTAATATAGAGCACTTTCATGTAACTACAACATCAAAGTTTGTAGTATTATGATGACAAATACAGCTGCAGAACATAGTATAATATGATTCCTTCTTGTACAACATTTAAAAATTTTCCCTGAAGTTATTTATTTCTTCTCTTGGGGATTTTTAAAAATGTATTATCAATAATCCCCAGATCTTCCAGCAAACCGGTTCAATTCTTTTCAATAGATTCAAACACATCAGATAATTTATCATCTTCTTATGGCTTTTTTTCCCTCAGAGACATTTCTCTGGACTCCTCCATCCACCCCCCTCCCCACCCCACCCCCGCCCCGCAGCATGGACTGGTTGCTCTCCTAAGCCTGGGCTCTAGTGGTATCCTTTGATCTTCTTTCACCTTCATCCCTGTTTTAATAAATAAACAGACTTTGCAAATTCCTTCAAAATCCAGCTCAAATAGCACTTCGTTGGTAAAACTGTCTCTAGTTCTATAGGCATAAACTTCTTCTTTGGTGTCTTATAGACCTTTGCATGCCTTTCCTTTAGCATTTAGCACATTTTACTATTTGCCCCTTTAGATAAACTGAGCTCCTTGAGTGTAAGCTACATACCTAGCATTACTCACTGTACCTCCTTTACCTAGGACAGTGCCTGGCACAGAGTAGATACTCAATATTTGAGGAAGGCAGGCAGGCAGGCAGGCAGGCAGAAAGGAAGGAAGGCAGCCCAAAACTGGCATCATTGAAAAGAGGATTCAAAAGGAAAAAAGACACAAGTACAAATCCTAAGAGTCTCTACACGGGCAGTACGAATGTACTGATAGAAAGGCAAAACAGAATTGAGGAAGATTTGGAAAAAACAGTGGTCAAGAGACTGGGATAGAATAGGACCACAGTAAAGAACAGACCAAAAAAGATGAGTTTTCTTTACTTTGAAAAGTGATACAGGATTGAAAGTAATATCAGGTTTAAGGAGCAACCTGGAGTTGGAAGATATTTGATTCAGGACAAATGAAAGGAAAAAAGTTCAGCCTCATAAGAGAGCAATGATCCAGTGGAACTGGCCACCCCGGATACGGTACATATTAAAACTGCATATTCAAACTAAGAAAAAATGATCAGATGACATGATCTTAAGTATTATTGGGTGATCCTTCAGAGGTGTGGCAAGATATCTCTTAGAGGGTAACTAAACACCTTTAAACTGAAAAATCGAGGTTTACGAGGGATCCAGTTACTAACTGGATGACTTTGGGCAAGTCACTTACCTCCCTGTGCTTCAGTTTCCTTTTCAGTAAAGTGAGGCTAACTATATAATTCTTCCTCCTAGACAGAGTAGTTGGAGGATTGAGTGAGAGAATGCTCATAACACCCAGTTAAATGGCTCATAATTTGTGCCCCTCAGATATTAGCTACTGTGACTGTAGGTGCGAGTATTATTACTGTTATTACAGGCAGTGGCCTTTAAGCTACATGTTTGACAAAGACTGCTGCAGTTTCACCTGTACTTACCAACAGCATCACCAAGAGAAATTCAGCCTCGTACCATCAATGAGGCTGTTGTTTTATTTATTGATTCATAATACTTACTTTCGAGTGATTTGGAGAAAGATAAACAAATTAATTTTATAAACAATTTAGGACAGTATGTGGCACATAGTAGGTATTAATGTAAACATTCTATATTAGGATGGCTATTCACAATATCGACCTATACCTAGCACAAAAAAAATCCCCATAGACAGGATAAACCACAGATCCTAATTAACTTACTTGGTGGCAGTCTCAGGATACTTAAGAAGAAATTGTTAAAGTTGTATGATTAACTCACGTGATGAAGTTAGATCTATTTCACAGGAACTATTGCCAAGGGTGTTGATAGCAGTGCACTGGTAATAACCCTGCTCAAAATTGGTTAGATTTCCAATAACAAAAGTGCCGGTGGCTGGGTCTGTCAAAAACAGGAAAGAGACTTCAGAAATCTCTTCTTGGGCACACATCAAGCTGATGTAGCTGATCATTCAATGGCCACTCACTTACTCACATTTGCCTACCTTTGAAATATCTAGAGTCCAACTAGACCCTTCGGGACTACTCCAAAGGTAACCTGTGTGGGACCTAGCCCATTCCCTGCATACCCATTACCTCTGAGCCCCAAAACAGGATTGACTTCTAGAAGTTGGGGAGAGGATCAGACCACCATCATCTTGTTAGGAAACAGACATTTTTACATCCCGTCCCAGAAATACATTAGATTGAGTTCTCAAAGCAAACGGCCAACACACGAACACTGTCAGCCAGTGACATACAACAGGCCTTGCCAAGGGTTGCTGAGGGCTATACTTACTGAAACTTTCTTTCACTGGAACGATGTCTTTTCCTTCAACTTTAAACCAGTAGTACACAGGTACAGGTGTTCCAAGCGTCGAGAGGCAAGAAAGAGATATTGGATGGCCAGTTTCGGGGGTTCCTTGAATGCTGCAATAGGGCTTAGATGGTTTGACTGTAAGGCAATGACAAAGAGTAAAAACTTGCAGGATGAATGGCAGTTTGTAACTTCCTCACTTTCATTTTGTAGACTAATCTTTAAAAATAAATATGTTCCATTTCACTACTTGGTATGAATGTTTTCAAAGGTTGTTTAAAATAGATGGCCAGGATTTACCTGTCTGTATAACATAAAGTCAAGTTTGACTAGTTTGGAGTGAGCTAGCCTTTTGCATCCTTGCATTGACACGTTTCTTGAATTTGGACTATCGCTGCATATCTATGATATGGTATTTTGTGTCATTAGTGAAATCTTATTTTTGTTTCTGTAAATATATATATATATATAATATATATATGCATTGTGAAAATGCAGTCCATGGTGTAAAATTGTACATATCCCTAACCCCTTACAACTTGTACTAAAGCATATGTACAAAGAACTATGTTGTCTTATTTATGTTTTGTTTACATAATGTATAGTTTTTTTAAGTATTTTAGTAATTTTGGACCAGTGAACTGTTAGCAACAATGCAGAAGAATCTCCATGTAATAAACTGAGTTGCTGTTAAAAAAAAAAAAAATGCATTTTGACAGTTTCCTGGTTGTACCACCAGGTGGGAGTAGAGTACTTCAGGTGCAAGGACCTGCTGTCACCAGGCCATTGAGATTCTGATTGCGTCTCCTCTAGTTGGCCTCAGGGATCCATAACCGTGAATTTCCTCACTGTATGTTAAAATATGCCGTTATTAAAAAAGCCAAACAAACACTAAATGACAAGGGACAGAGTTTATACTTTTGAAGCACTGTTTATAGGAAAAGAGAAACCTTCAGTAATTAGAGATAACCTATTATTTATTCTTTTTTTGTAAGTTTACTTTTTTGCCATGTTTGCCTTTTATGTGTCTTTTTTTCTGGCATTTCTTCTTCTGCTGGTGACAGAACCTGACTGGAGGGTTTGTATTTGCCTGTGTCCCTCTTCAGTAGGGGAGCCCACGGTGGTTGGAGGGGGGCTGGAGGGCTGCTACATGGCCCTGGAAACTTTGTTCATTCTTCACAAGATTTAATTGAGTGCTTTCTGTATGTCTAGCACTGTTCTAGGCACCAGGAATTCACAAGTAACTCTGACCCCCTTCTAAAGAGGCATGAGGGGAAGAGAGATAAGTCTAAAGGACAATGGGGGTCAGAGCTAGGTGGCTTTGTATGCCGCAAACAGGAGGACCACAGAAGGAATTTAAGCTGGGGAGCAACCATGGTCACTTTCACCTTTTAGATGGATCATTCTGACACCATGGGTGCCTGAACCAAGAAGAGCAGGAAACAGATTCAAGAGGTATTAAGGAAGTAGAACTAACAGAACTTGGTGACCAACTGGATATGGGGCGCAAAGAAAAAGGGAGTCAAAGATTGTGGCCAGGGGGCCTCCCCTGGTGGCGCAGCGATTGAGTGCTGGGCTGCAAAGCTGCCCGCAGCCTCTGCAGCTCCGGCTCGATCCCCGGCCACCGGCGAGGGTCCCACATGGCGCGACAGACCTCTCCTGCCGCCCGCTGCTCCCCTCAGCAGTGTGCTTCGTCAGTCTGCCTGTTCTGTTCCCCGCTCTGGCTCTGGTGAATCCTCTCACCCTCCCGCGCTTCTGACTGTACCCAGTGCTTGTATAAAGGAATAAATAAAATCTTTTTTTAAAAAAAAAAGATTGTGGCCAGGTTTCTGATATGGACAGCTTAATACACGATCCTGCCTTGCCTTGAGATGAATATAGTAGAAGGAGCAAGTTTTAGGAGGGGTGTAGAGAAGGAAGGAGCCATCATGGAGTCAGTTTGGGATGGTAACTGAATACGTTCCTCACTATTGATTTTCTGAGAAGGAAACAACTAGTTGTGTAACAGGGTGGTCCCCAGGAAAGGGGGAGGTTCCCTGCCCCACCCAAGGGAGGGTGGAGCTGAGCAGGAAGAGGAGAAGCAGAAGAGACTAAGGAAGGAAGCAGGATGGAACCAGGAGACCTGGAGGAGGCACATGGAGCCTAGAGACACGTGAAGAAACTGCGCTTGTCTTTTGGTTGTGGACTGGGTGACACAGATGTGGGTGAGACCCAAGGGGAGGTGACAATGGCAGCTTTTATCTTGATGTTGATTTTGCTCTTTTCCTTCCGGGCTTGTCTGGTTGTTTGTGACCCTTTTCTGTGGGTCCCCACTGGAAGATGCTTTAGACTTGTGGCAGGCTTTGGGGCCTTGCTCTGGGCCGACCCCATATGGATGGAGTTTTACCCACGAGGGGATGGGTAACTTTGGGTGCTTCATTTAGAAACTAGACTCTTTGCCTTACCTGTATTGTTTTCTAGTTTTTATTAAAGTTCCTTCCCATTAAAGTGTCATATGTTTTGTGTTGATGCGGCGGATGGCAGAACCCATTTAGAATAGGCAGGTTTGTGGGGGTCTGGGGTGCCCCTCTCCCTGTCCTATAACAGTTGGATTTGCCTATCCAAAATGAGGTTACTTAATTGGAAGTCCATTGCAGCTATCTCTGCATTGAGAAACTGCCTTTTAAAAAACACAGCGACTTTATAAACTTTACAGCAGAATAGGACAATTTGAACAGCAAATTAAGTTGGGGTGTTTCATCACCAAGTCAGCCACCAAGACTTGAACTAAATGATGAACACAAATCTGGAATGACTTATTCATTTCTTGAGTCTAGAGTCAAACCCAAATAGGCATTTATTTTTTGCTGAACATATTTTTTCACCTTTTATTTTTTATTAACCAAATACTCGATCAGTGAATCACCTTGAATCATGTCCCAAACCTACATATTTTCTAAAACTATCAAATCAGGATTAAATTATCATTTCATCCAGTTAAAGTCCCCGGTAGAACTTTGATGTTTTACTGGCAAACCCATTGATCTACCACTTAGCCTTATTGCTTTCAAGAGAATTGGAATAAGAGGAAAAGGCTCACCTCAGAAAATAAATGTAAATGTTTCAGTGTGTTCTCAACCCTTCTCTAATTGCATCATTTTCTTTGTATGTGCCAAATAGAAGGAAGATGATGCTCATTCCAAATGCATACCAAAAAACTACTCAAGCTTCTTTCTTGGTGGGTTTTTTTTTTTATTTCTAGAGATTGTGTTTCTGAGACTGTAATATCTAATGGGAATATCTCAAATGAGTGGTCACCCAAACCACCCCAACACCTAATACAAGGCTCAGCAAAGTAAAAACATGATTGACTTGGATATCTTGCTCTTAAAAAAAAAATCCTCTTGGCTGTTTTTCCTCCTTTCCAGATTCAATAACAAACTTCACAGTAAGGAGCTGGTTCATCTTTAGCATCACCTGGAATGCAAGTCCAGATAACTCTCTAAAGGTCTCGTAAGCTGTGCACCTTGTTATCAATTGCTACTTTCACAAGCTACTCAATGATCAAGTCACTGGTCTGATCTAATTTCTCCTTTCCTGTGATGGATGTACATAACATGAGAGGCAGTGACTAGATTAGCTCCATTTAAGTTTCTTAGAAGTGGGAGGACAGTTAATTCAACTCCTTTCGGTACTTCTGAAGGCCCACTGACAGGACTCGCTAGGCCTGCAGATGAGAGCGAAACTCACACTGTCCCCTCGGAGATTAGAAGGAGCCCTAGAAATCGCCAAAATTATGACCTGGTGAAAAGCAGAAACCATGTTTCCTTCTCTGCAAGCTTCATGGTTCCTGGCACAAAGTAGGCACTCAATAAAGGTTGCATCTGAGCCTCCCTGGTGGCACAGCGGTTGAGCGCTGGGCTGCGAGGCTGCCCACAGCCTCTGCAGCACCAGTTCGTTCCCCGGCCGCCGGCTAAGGTCTCACACACAAAAAAAAATAATAAAATAAAGGTTGTATCAATGAATCACTCTAAATTCATTTAAGAGTGGATATGATATTCCCAATGACACATAATTAATATTTCTATATAAATAACTTCTCAACTCTGGCTTAACATGTGGTCCTTTTTCCAAATGGCAAAACCATTTTGAAAAGGAACCTTCCTATTTTATTTACCTATACATTCACTCATTTGTTTTAAAAGAATGATTTAATGGTGAGAAATTGTGGCAGACATAGGAGACAAAAAGTTGACAGTTGTCTCCCCCAGGGAACACTGTCTCTAATTGGAAGTTCCCTCTGAAAGAATTGCTAGTGACGGTATAGTGGGGCTGTGCCTTGTCCCATGTATTCTCATTCGGTTTTTCTGAGATCAGGATCCCTGGAGGTTGGGTCATCTACTGTCATCTGTCATTTTAGTGGCCATTTTTGATTTCACAATTGTTTGAACATGTTTTGAATGATCTTTCAGTGTTTCTATGTGGATTGGGTAGATGATGTGTCTCTGTATCCCTGATTTAAAAAGAAAAATAGAGCACTGAGAATATTTATCATTGGGACCTCACTGGCACCATAACTCACTGTCCTGGCTCTGTTAACATCTTAAGTTGCTCCAAGAAAAGACAGAAATAAATGTCCATACCTAACACGCTGACGCTGATGACTCCTTGATTTTCACCGGTAAAGTCAGGAGGGTTGTTGACGTCACAGATGTAGAGGCCACTGTCTGCTGGTTGCATACGTGAGATAGTGATGGATGCGTTGTCTGGATTGTTGGACCCTACAATTCGATCTTTAAAATTCCCAGCAGTTTCAGCTTTTCCACCTGCAAAATAGTAAATCTAGGACAGAAAAATGACAGAAATGAGAAGTGGAGAATGCCCAGGGCTAAGATAGGCTACATGGAATCTCTATCAGCGTTACCCTATGTATTAAGAAGCAGCATTTTCCTCCCTGTGGGGAGGGGACTGGTCCCTGTGGGGACTCAGTGGGGCACTTTTTTCTCAACTGCTGTGCACAGCCACTGCCTTAGTTGTGATCAAAGCAGCTCTGTGATGTCATCAGGGCAGGACGATGTGATTATCTTAGACAGTATACAGGTAGAGCCAACAGGCTTCAACTCCTAAGCTTAGACAAGGAGATAGATGCTCACCTGATGAGTCTATCTGGAGGAAGCTCATATTGGACACAAATGGCTGACAGGAAAACACAAACCATCCATTTTGTTCCACTTCATAATTTTTTGGTAAACTGTTACCAAACTCTGGTTTCCCTTCATGCACATGTGCTCCTTTGGATAAGCAAACTTTGATTCTTCCATTCCATGGAAGAATAACATTTCAGCACAGAGGGTCTCCTGAGAAATCATCTGGTCCCATCTACTCATAGTAGTGATATGAGGATAAAACAAGTCTAGTAAAAGGCCTAGGAAGTGTTTAGTCGATGACAGCTACTACATTTCACCCATGGCAGGAAGCAAAAGTTGAATTATTTCATTTGACAAACAAGGGCACACAAATTCAGAAAAGGCTTCAATTTTTATTATTACAATTTACTAGACTTAAAATCTGAATTCTAGTCTCATCTCTATTAAAGAACATGGATATTAAGAACATAATGACAACTGTGGGAGCAGAGTGGTGTGGTAGAAAAAGACCTGGACTAGGAGTCAGATAACCTGGGTGTTAGCCACAGCTTGGCCTGATTGTGACATAGTCAATGGAGGTAGCCTCATGTCACCATGGCAACCTACTACGTGATAAGAGGCAAAGTTGTTTCATCTCCTCAACCTTTAGTTTGCACACCTGATCATACTTCTCCAAAGTCTGATAAGTATTTCCCAAGTATAAGCACATAAATTGCTTTTAAATGGTCTATAAATAAATGAAAACTTAAAATTTTTAATGTATGTTAGGAGAAACATATCACATCAAATGTATGACTTCATGGATATCATTGCTTATAGTGAGGCTAAGCAGCTATTTTTAAGATTTTAAGAAACCAAGTTAGTACAGAAAACACCACTAAGTAATTAATGGTACTGATGATACATGAATATGACAAAAATCATGAAGATGAGACATGGATGGCTAAACTTTGGGACTCAATGGACTACGTGATCCCTCTGGTTCCTTCATAACACAGTCTATGTACATACTAGGTTAGTTAGTTGCTGAATGTGTATAACTCAAGTGAATGTTATTTTTCAATAAACTGGCATAACTCTAGTCCAATGGGACTAGTATTTTCATCAAATACATTAGAAGAGTCATATGGTTCATTTAATTCAGTCTCCCCGCTTTACAGAAGAAACTGAGCCCAGAGATGTGAACACACACACAAAATTAACAGTTGAGACAGCTCTGGAACCCAGTTTTCTAATATCCTTTACCTTAATAAACTAATAAGAGAGAGAAGATAATAAGTAAACTAAATGTTTCCTCCTTTAAGTAGAAAGACAATCTATTTTAACTAAGGCAACAGGTAAAATCTGAGGGAAAATTCAAAGAGCATATTACAGAGAAAATAACTCATCCAGTTCTCTAGCATCAATTAGCTTTCTTTCTTGCCCTTAATGAGCCATTTATAGTTCAGGTTATCTGGTCACACCTAGATAACCACCAGAATGATCTTGTTTAACTTACAAACCAGAAACCCAGCGTTAAAGTATTCACGTGGACCAGAGGGAGGTTCAACTCATCAAAAGTCTATTATCTTCATTTGAGTCAACACCCATGATATTTGGCTTTCCATTTCACTAGCTTATTTACTTTTTAATCAACAATTTCAGGTCCCACGGATCCTTACCTGGAGTGGAGCCTGCAGTCCATCCAGGAAGCCCTCTACAGCTTAGACATGTGGCTACTTCCTCGAGCGCTGCTCCCAGTGAAACTGGGGCAAAGTCAGCCTCTTTTATGCTGAAGCTTGATGACATCACAATGAGCTTTGACATCCTTGCCTACAGCCCATAGTGAGTCCCAGAGGATCTAGGTGCAAGACCTGGTTTCTTAACAGAGTAGGGGAGTGAAAGATTGTGTTTCAGGCCAGGACTGGGCATAAAAAGAAGCCAGAGTGAAAGTCTCACAATTGGGCATGAATCAACGTGAAATGAGCAATAAGTAAGGAAGCTCTGGACTTGAAACTTCCTTATAAAAAGGATGTTCACCAATCTTTCTACCCTATCTCTGCACACTGTATTCTAACAAACTTTACCCACTCACAAATAACAGTAAAGGGTATCAGTCTAGTAATAGGGGTGAAGAGGAATAACAATAGACACCTAACAGGGAAAAGCCTTGGCCTCGGGGTTCTGTGTGTGAAAGAAAGTCCCAGAGGCTAGACAGTGGCCACACACGTCAATGGAGGGGTTTTCTGTTAGGGGAAGTCCACGCTGCTACACTGTCCTTGAAAAGACAAAAAATTAAATGTTTTCCTGAAACTGCTTATCTAATCACACAGGAAGGACTGGAACTTGGTTCTATTTTCCACAAAAGAAAAACTCTTTTCAAAATCAAAGCTGAACAATGGCCAAGGCCCAGCTCATGATCCTTTGAGGTTTGTCCACTTTTCAATGAAAGTATACTGTCAATTTAGAGATCAAAGCAATAAAGGTTCATTAAAAGCCACGGATGCTCAACAGGCCACATCCCTTGGGGAGAGGGGGGAGGTCCTGCTTTAAGAAAATCCATCCAAGCCTCACCTTAACTGGTGCGTGTTAATTTTTTACCCACTTGTCTTTTGTGGCTGTGTTCATGGCAGACTCCCCTACTTTTCCTCAAGGTCCTCTCAGCCTGCCCCTTGGTGATACTGGAGTTATAATGGCACATTAGTTATAAGACCCCCTTAGAGATCACTTAGCTCATGTTTCCTAAGGAGGAATCTTCAGGAGCCAGATGGATATTAAACAAATGGGAAATGGCTGGGAAGGGGTAAATGGAGAGTGGTAAGATCATAGAGGACAGTGGGAACTGGGGAGCCAAAGCAAACAAGGTATTCAAACTGTTGAAATAAACAAAAAACACTGGACAGGCCAACCAATATACATTCACCAGCCAAATCTGGCCCAGAGACCTCCAGATTGCAACCTCAGATTCATCCTCTTCTATTACAGTAAAGGACACTGAGGCCCCAATAGAGAAAGTGATTTTTCCAAGGTCATATAATCAATCTATACCCAAACCTAGAATCCAGACCTCCCAGTTCCCACATGAGCACACCGATGGCTCTCAAAGTCATGTGTTAGGTGCTCAAAGTCATGTGTTAGGTGGGGAAAATGATTCCCATTCATCCTTCCCCCTTGGGGGCCATCCCATCCCCTTCTCCCGCCAGACTCTTCTCCTGCCAGTTGCTGCTATTCACTGGTATGACGCTTCCCATGCCAAGTGGGTCTCCATGTGATGCCTTGACATTTGTTGGCTACAATAACAGCTTTTCCCCTCCTACTGTGCCAAGTTCCTATTCACAGGAGGCCATGCAGCTGGGAGCCAGATTTGCCAAAAAGATTTTTTTCCTCAGCTTTGTGACACTACTCTCTTACTAGAGGCTGGAGTTTAAACAAGAAGGGTAGAAAGAATTTGGTCTGATTTCTGTTTGAGTCTGAGTTGCAGTTAATAAATGCCATTAGCCTCCCAAGCTGCTTTGTGGGTTCCTTTAGGGAATGTGGAGGGCCTGGAAGGTCACAGCAAACCACTCATTCTTTCCCTTCCAGCTTCTTGCTTTCCTGCACTGCTCATAAAGGGGCTAGCCATGGAAGGGGGTGAGGGGACAATGGCAATGATGTCAAGGTCAGACTTTTCTCCGGACTGTACTGAGAGGGTTGGGACTGCACATGGAAGTAATAGAACACAAAAAGGAAGACTTTCCTCCTCCCAACCACTCTCCTACCAGCTCAGTAGTGGTGTCATTGACCTGGAGGCTCCAAACAATTAAGGGGTCCAGTAATACACCAATAAGTGTTCTTACCTGAGAGGTCCAGCTACATCTTCCCCGAGCGTCTCTTGCATGCGCCATTTTTAGACACTGACTGACTGCCTTTTCCTCCATACCCTCAGTACTGAGGCACCGGCTGTGCTGTGTTTGAGCAGAAATGGGTGGATCTGAGAGCCGAATGCTACATTGTATACCGTCACATCAACCCAGGAGTTGAATGAATCACTTGGGTGAGTCTGGCAAAACTTTACTCCCATACATCATAGAATTGCCTAAGAGCACAGCAGTCTATTTTTATCATTCCCCAAATGCCCCACCAGTCATACCTAGATTAACATACAACATGCACTACAGAATTTCAAATGCATAGATGTGCTCAAAGAGAAAATTTGAAATAGAGGCCAAATCCCATTTTGAAAAGTACCAATTCAACTAAGGATGTCTGCAACCTTTTTGTTAAGCAGGTTCTCTATTCAAGGATAAGAAACAGGCAGGGAAGGGGATGGGCCTTTCTTAAATCCCAGGCAGTGGAACTAGAAGTCAATCCTGGACTGGGATGTACCCCCCAAAAGTCTGTCCCAGCTGTTGAACTCACTAACTGTATTTTTGGGGCTGGATTCCTTAGTGCCCATGACTGAGGGGTATGAATGGGATACAGCAGTGATGCTGACAGTAGTAACTCATATTCTTTGAATGATTTCAATGGGGGAAGGCTTCCTAGTGCATCAAAAGCATCATCTCATTTAATATTCACAGCAAACGTATGGAGTAGGTATGTAACCCCATTTCACAGACAGATGGGAAACTTGAATCTCTGAAAGGTTAAGTGATTTGTCTAAGATCATTCAGCCAGCAAGTAACAGAGCAAGAAGTAGAACTGACATTCATCTGGAGATTTCCACTGGGGCTCCAAAACTACTCATCTGAAAAAACAGACAGAAGTATATGCCCACAGGGCATGAGGGAAAGATGGAGGAACTCTAGTTTTCTAAAAGTAAGAACCTAAAGATAGTTGCAATGTTTTTTGGTTTGCTTTTGTTTTTCCCCCTGAGGTAAGGTGAAGCAAGATAGGAAAAGAGGAGAAAGAGAAAGTTGCCCTCTTTGGAAGTGCTCTTCAATGTCTCCAAGAGATGGCCTTGCTCTACCCTGTCTTCCATGAGGCTAAGGTACAGGCCTAACACCAGTCTCAAGCAATTGGAGAAGCATCTAGAATGTTAAGATCAAGAGGCATGTTCTCACCTATCAGCAGCTCAATGCAGAAGACTTCCTTTGATTTGGACTTCCCAAAAGAGTAAACACCTTAAATTACTTTCCCTACAAGTACCTGATAATTTGAAGGATAAGGCAAATGGCAAGTAAATAAGATGCTTAATACTTATGCATTAATAGATTTTCTTTCTAAGAAACTGTTTAAGAAACGTCCTGGGTTTGAGCCACACTCAGTTCAATCACTTACACCATGTTCTTCTTCTTCTCTAGGTCTAGAAAATAACTCATTGCAGGTAATAAGTTCTTTAGTTCTGCATCTCCCAGCCAGCCACAGATTTCAACCAAGAGGTGGCCTTATAAATTCCAGTTTTAGAGGAGGCATAAAGAAGAATTTGTGGTTTTGAACTCAGACTAACCTGATTTGGCTTCCATGCAGTTGGAAACATGTTGATTTAAGTACCAAGCATTAAAAAACGTCAAGATTCAGACCCTCTTGGCAAAAAGAAAAATCTTAAGACTACAGATAGAGAGTATTGAAAAAGATGAGTCAGGAAGCTGAATTTTAAAAAGGAAGAAAAAGATGGCGCACTTATTGCCATTCACAATCTATAAGAGCAGGCTACAAAGGAAAAGGATGATTTCTTAGTTGACTACAACTTGTGAAGTTTTGGGTCAGGACTCTTCAGATGACAAAAACTTACAGGGTTTTATATTTTTCCAAATGTTTTCATATTCATTATGTCACTTGATTCCCCATGAGGTATACAGAAGAGTACTACTGTTCTACCAATTTAGGAGAGGCACAGAGTGATTCAAATACTTGTCTAGGGTCACCAGTAATGAGTAAAGTTGTTTAACTTTGACTAGAGGGTGACACTCATGGAATCCTCTCTGAATGGTGTTTCCTGCTAAACAAGTGTTCAGGACTTCAGGTAAAGAGAGGACGCAGCACCTCCAAGACCAGTGATGCCAGGGTGTAGTTCCTCCAAGCTAATGTCCCCTTTCTTATTCACCTCTGCCCTTGGGACTCCCCCTGTCCATGCCACTTACTCTCCTATATTTCTACTAATCAAAATCCATCCTTTCCCTCAAGGTCCAACTCAACGACATCCAACTATTCCAAACCACACTGATTTATCTCTTCACTGAACTCCTTGTTTTGGATCATGTATCCTTTTGAAAATCCAATGAAAGGTACAGACCTTTTCCCTCCAAGGATATGCACAGGCTGGCCCAGCATATATGCTGGAGCACACACTTGCGTGCGCACACACACACACGCACACGCATGCACATTGAGTCCTTGGGCTAATTTGAAGAAGAAATTACCCTTAAGATTAGATGAACAGATGGGCCTCCCTAGTGACGCAGGGGTTAAAGTCAGCACTTTGAAGCTACTGCAGCCACAGCAGCATGAGTTCGATCCTGGTCAGGGAGCTAACCCACAGGGCATGGCAGACCTCTCCTGTCTTGCCCACTGCTCCCTCAGTAGTGTATTTCAGTAGATCTGTCTGTTCTGCTCCCCACTCTGTCTCTGGTGAGTCCTCTCACTCACCCCCCGCACCTCTGGACTACACCCTAGTTCTTGTACGTACATAAAAAAAAAAAAAGATTAGATGGAAAAAACCTGGGAAATAGGCAGCTTGCTCACTTACCCTCCTCTAGCAACCTCCCTCTGCAGCCCCTAGTCTTCTTTCTTTATCCTCTAGGTTTAACCTCCTGCTGCCCTTAATCAGCCAGGGCTCATCACTACCTTGGCCATCTCCACCTATCTGGGAACTCTCATTCCATCAGGACTAAGTCTAGCATGATGATCTAGCTCACTTACATTTGGCAGAGATCTGCCAATCCATTAGGACATGCACTTGAATATTGAGACCATCCCTATCTACTCTGGAATTCAGGATGTGCTTGATGTTGACCTACACAGAGTGGGGATTACAGGCTATAACTGAACATGAAAAGAAGGCAAAGGTCAAGTCCTCCAGATGATGGTCTTCCCTAAATAGCTATCTTCAAACATTCTATATGTGAGGCTTTGCTGCTGCTTTCACTGACTTATCATTACTTCACACTCTGACCCCGATAGTTTTCAGTCAGAACTATTGAAGGGGAATAGTTTAGGGAAAAAAGTCCTTACGGTAATTGACTTTTCCTCATTCTTAGTCATGAATGACCACTGGATGAAAAGCTTGTCCCGGGAGGGCAGAGTACTGGTGTAGGTGCAAATGAGAGTGACATCAGATCCAGCAGTCACGTTCACGACAGTGTCTGGGATGGTTACTTGCACCATACTAACTTGACCTGAAAAGATAATCATCAAAAAGGCAATAACACACACAATATTCTGATGACACTTTTTCATTATAAAGCAATTTCAATGACATCTTATTTAAGGACTCCAAGGTGAGGAGGAAAAGGCAGAATGAACTATACCAAAAAGTTAGGCAAGCAATTAGGATGACGGTATGAGAATTTCTAACAAATAACAATGTGAAGATACCCAAACCTTGTGTGACATAGGAACACTGAAGTGGGAATTGCTTCTATATGAAGAAGGCTTTTCACAAGGCACTTACAATGTTGTTCAGGGACCCAAAAATGTCCATGAATATAGAGTACAGCCAAGCCTGGTTGCCTAAAACCCAAGGAGTCCCTTGGATGTGGAACTTTCAGTTTTAAATCTGGGTAAGTCTCAGGCAAGCCATACTGGTTTTCCTGCACTTTTGGTGCCAAAACCAAGAAAGTCCAAGGCAAACCAGAATGAGTTGGTCACTCTCTAAGACCACTGGGGGGTGAGGAGGGGACCTACATGATCAAAATTATTGTAATTATTTATAATAATATTAAATGTCATTTTCCTTTTTCACTCTCGTCCTCTCATGAATGTACAATGGAGTGTTCAGAAGCTTGATGACAGGTAATGTTATTGCTCTGGAGGCTTTATGGACTTTTGCGCCTAATTTTTTTTAGTTTTGGTGTCTAATATAGTATATATACATAGAAATAATCCACATAGCAAAAAACTCTTTGGGAGCCCTCAATAATTTTAACCAAAAATCTTTATTTAGATAGTAAGTAGTACAAATGCATTCCCAAGAAAGAAGACAGAGGTCCTATGTACACTTTATCCATTCTACTCCCTAGTGGCAACCTTTATAAAACTATAGGATAATATCACCACTAGGAAACTGACATTGATACAATCCATCCATCTTGTTCATATTCAGGCATACTTGAACTTGTGTGTGTGTGTGTGTGTGTGGTGTGCACGTGTGCACGTGTGTGCGCATTTTGTTCTATACAATTTTATCATGTGTGAGAGCACAACGGACTGTGGTGGAGGACTATGGGTGCTTTGGTGGTGGGAGAGGTATGGTGACCACACCTGAGGAAAGAAATCTTATATTGTCAAAATATTAACAAGAACGTAAAACAATGGTACATCATTAAAATAAATGAATGAATGGTTTCATCACATGTGTAAGTTTGTGTTCTATTTAAAATAACATTTAAGAAATGACAACGTTTTAGAAATGGAAGACAGATTAGTGATTGCCCATGCTTCAGGTCAAGGATGGAGTGTAAGGAGGAGGTGGGTGTGATGATAAAGCGGCAACATGGTTTCTCTGTTCAGTATCATGATTCTGGAGGTTATCCTATAGTTTTGTGAAGGCTGCCACAAGGGAGTAGAGTGGATAAAGTGTACATTGCCTTTTATTGATTAGAAGTATTTGAAGGTATGCATGTACCAGTTTGTTTAACTACTTGCTCATTTATATCATCTGGGTTTGTCTCCAGATTTTTGGTTATTGAATAAAACTCCAGCAAAGGTTTATGAACAGATTATTGTGTGAATTATTATTTGTCAAATTGCAAATAAATCTCCATTTCTCTGAAATAAATGTCCCAGGGTGTAATTGCTAAGTCAGACAATAGTTACATATTTATTTTTATTTTATTAAAAAACCCACTTTGCTTTCCAGAGTAACTGTACCAATATACATTTCCACCAACAACATATGAGTGATCCAGTCTCTCCACATCCTTGCCAGCATTTGTTGTTGTCATTAACTTCCTTTTTGCTTTTAATTTTTACAAATTAATTTGTAAGTCGTGTACATAACTATGTAATTTTGGGGTTATAACTTCACACCTCCATAGGCCCACATGCTTCACTTACCCTCCACTAAAACTCCAATGCGGATGTCCTGTTCCTTTCTTTTCCCTATCCCCACCTCCCTCTCACCCCTACTCCCTCTGGCAATGAGCGTAGTTTTCACAAAGTTGAAGAATTGTTTTTGCTGTGCTTTGTCAGTTTTCTTTGGTTAAGTATATGGCACAAATGAGTGACACCTCTACATTAGCCACTCTAATAGGTGTGTAGTAATATATTATTATGATTTTAATTTGTAATTCCATAGTGACTATGGAATAGTGACTAGTGATGCTAAACAACTTCTCATGTGATCATTTGTATATCATCTTTAGCAAAATGTTTGTACATATATTGGCTTATTTTTCTAGTTGGATTGTTCAGCATTCTTGCTGTTGAATTTTGAGATTTCTATACAATTTGGGTGTCAGTCTTTTGATGAGCAGACAACTTTATTTCTTCCTTGCCAGAATACCTTCCAGTATTTGATTGAATAAGAGAATTAAGGGTGGATATCCCTGTCTTTTCCCCAATATCAGCATTTAGTTTGTCACCATTAAGTACCATGTTAACTGAGGGTTTTTTGTAGATGCTATTTGTCAAATTGCAGTATTCTCCTCTGTCATGGGTTGAATTCTGTGTCCACTGAAAGATATGTCCAAGTGCTAAGCCCTGGTAACTTTGAATGTGACCGTATTTAGAAATAGGGTCTTTGTAATATGGTTAAGTTGAGGATATTGAGATGAGATCATCTGAGATTTAGGGTGCATCCTAAATCCAATGACTTCAGTCCTTATAAGAAAACAGAGAGGGCAATTTGACACTTGATACACAAAAGGAAAAGCCATGTGAAGACGAGAGCATAGATTGCAATGGTACATCTACAAGGCAAGGATGACCAAGAATCACTAGCAGCCAGCTAGGAGAAAGGCATGGCACAGATTCTCTTATGGAGCCACCAAAAGAGCCAATCTTACTAACTCTGATTTTGGACTTGGCCTTCAGAACCATGAGAGAATGAATTCTTCATTTTAAGTCACCTAGTTAGTGACAACTTGTTGCTGTAGTTCTGGAAACGAATGCACCCATTTTCCTAACTTGCTGAAAGTTTTTTATTATGACTGGGTAGTGGATTTTGTCAAATGTCTTTTCAGCATCAATTGACATGCTCATTTGTTTGTTTGTTTTTTCCCCGTAGCCTTGTTGATGTAAGTTACACTGAATGGCTTCTGAATGTTGAACCAGTCTGGCACACCTGAAATCAATTCTATTTGGTCATGATGTGGAATTTGTTTTGTACACAGCACGATTAAATTTGTTACTGTTTTGTTGAGAATTTTTGTATTTAAGCTCATGGAGATACTGGCCTACAGTTTTTTATTTTTATACCATCTTTGTGTGCTTTTGGTATCAGAGTAAACTAACCTCATAAAATGAGTCAGAAGTGTTCTCTGCTCTTCCACTTTTGGAAGAGATTGTGTAAGACTGGTGTTAATTATTTTTTTAAATATTTGGAAGAGATTTCTAGTGAAAGTATCTGGGCTTAGAGCTTTCTTTGCCAGGAGATTTTAAAACTGTGAATTCAATTTCTTTAACATGTATAGAGATATTCAGGTGATCCATTTTTGTATTAAGTGAGTTTTAGAAGTTTGTTGTTTTTAAAGAATGATTCCTTTCTTTTAAGTTATCAAATATATGAATGCAAACTTGTTGCTAGTCGTCACTTATTATATTTTTAATGATTGTAGGATCTCTAGTGACATCCCATATTTCATTTCTGATAATGATGATTTGAGCTTTTTAAAAAGATTTGTTTATTTATGCATACAAGAGCTGGGGTGCAGGCTAGAGGTGTGGGGGATGAGAGGATTCACCAGAGACAGAGTGAGGAACAGAACAGGTAGATCTCCTGAAATACACTCCTGAGGGTAGCAGCAGGCAAGACAGGAGAGGTCTGCTGTGCCACGTGGGTCAGCTCCCTGGCCGGGGATTGAACTCGTGCTTCAGAGACTGCAGATAGCTTCATAGTGCTGAAACTTAACCCCTTGAGCCACCAGGGAGGACCCTGATGATTTGTGTTTTATCCTCTTTATTTTTACCTGTCTTGTTAGAAGTTTGTCAATTTTATTTAGTGATTTTTTTATAATGAACCATATATTTTATTTAATTTTCTCTATAGTTTTACTATTTCAATTCCATTGAGTCCAACTTTTTATTATTTCCTTCCTCTGCTTATTTTGGGTTTATGTTGTTCTTCTTTTTCTAATTCTCTGATAGAGAAATTTCAATTAGTGACTTCAGACTTTTCTTCATTTCAAATGTAACCATTTAGTCTTATAAATTTCTAAGCACTGCTCTAGCTGCATGTTACATATTTTTGTAATATTATACTTTCACTTTAATTCAGCTCATTTTAAAATTCCTTTGAGATTTCCTCTTTGATCCATAGATTACCTACAAGTGTGTTATATAAGTTACAAGTGTTTAAAAACTTTCTTATTATTTTTCTGTTTTTAATTTTTGGTTTGATTTCACTGGGTTCAGAGACTGTATAATTCCAAATTTGCCACATTTGTTGGTCTGTTTTATAGCCAAGCACGTGGTCTAGCCTGACAAATATTCTGTGGGTTCCTGAGGGGAAGTGTGCATTCTGTGCTTGTTGGGTGCATGTTCTATACAAAGAGATATGCTACAGGTTCCGCCACAAAGGTGAGCTGTGGGTGCCAGGAAAGTGCAGTTCTTGTGCCACTGTTGGAAGCCAGCAACCCAGGGGTCCCCTTCTGGAACTGAGTAGAGAGAGGGAGGGCTCTGTCATCAAGGTGAACTGTGGGTACCAGAAAAGTGTGGCCCCTGAACCACTGGTGGAAGCCAGCAATCCAGTGATCCCTTTCTGGAACTGAGTAGAGGGAAGGAGGGCTCCTCCATCAAGGTGAATTGTGGGTCCCAGGAAAGGGCGGTCCTGCCCGTGAGGCTGTTGGAAGCCAGGGAACCCACAATCCCCTTCTGGAACTGAGTAGATACAGAGGGAGGGCTCCACAAACAAAGGTTAAAACGGGCATGTTAAGGGAAGAGATTAGTAGCATACAGAGACTCAGGAATCCTCAGAGACGGCACTCATCAACATATCCACAGCATCACTACCCTTGTG